CTTGAGATCTGAGACTAACATCTCACTCTGGCCCCAGTCTGAAGACCTATTTCAAACTGTTGCTGTTTAGAGAACTCTATTTCAGGCTTCATTTGAATTGGCCAGTCTTAGGACCTTAGGCTGATCCAACAGCCGGAGAATTATTCTCAAAAGATTCTATGTCCACTGATATGAAAATAAAAGTTATCTGGCACTTCCCCCTCCTAATGTCATTTTCATCTCTGTTTCTTTAGCACTTAATGGTCCATAGCCCCTTTATTCAATTAAAACACTTTTTTTTTAAATTAGTCTCTTGAGCTCAATCAGGAAGCAAGCATTAAATATCTTGCATGCACTAGGTGCTGTGTGGGCATCTGAAAGGCAAAATTGTGAACTTAAATAGCTGATGATCTGGTTGTAAACTATGGATAGGCAGATGGGTGGGTGGGCGGGTGGGTGGACTGTCAGTCAGACAGATAGCTGTGTCTACCAGGGGGTTTACATTAACTGCGGTTATGGTAAGAATTTCTGGCAATGAAGTCACTGGGATTTGGAGATCATAGCGGGAAAGAATTCAGGGGAGAGGGAGGATTTGAGCTGGTACTTGAAAGATGGGTATTAGGAAAGGAAGGAAAAAGGAAAAGGGTACATTCCAGACCAAGGAGAAGCACGATTGGGGAAGGGGCAGGTGGTGGATACAAGGAGGAGGCCAGCCTGGTCGCCAAGTACTGGGAACAGGTGGCGGGAAGTGGTGTGAAATTTAGGATATCTCTGTAGGTGATACCCAGATTATGAGATGCTGTAAAATCCAGGAAAAGAAGGTGCTTGCTCCGTTTCTGATAGCAGCGGGGTGCCACTGGAGTGGCTGAGGCAGGCAGGGATCTTGCTGCAAAGCCTTCTTGCTGCAAAAAATACCCAGGCTTCATGAGTCGGGGCTGGAACATAGGCATATTTTTCATTTTGAAGGCTTGTGCCTTTATTTCTAAAAGGCTTCTCGGCATAGGCATGATTGAATCAACCTATTAATCCTCCAATAAGTGAACAGCTACAGATAAAAACCGGTTAGTATCATAGCACCTCTTAGCTCTCCACGTGGTAACCCAGTTTTTTCTTGTCCTGAAAATTGAGTAAGTCTGAGAGCTGCAGGGCAGGAGGAGTGTTAGTCTTTCCATTGTACCAGGGAAGCAATGAGACCTAGAGATTTGCTCAAGGTTACAAGTCTAGTAAGTGCTGAAGCCAGAATTCAAACTTCAGACTTCTAGCCCCAAAGCCAATCATTTTGGCTTAACACAGACTGTGCTCTCATATTAGTAGCTTAAGAAAACACAAACATCGGCTTGCTAAAAATATACTCCCTAACTGAAACACAGACCTCTAGGAAAATTGAATGAGCAACCCAGTAAAAAGGAGCAAGGAATTTTGTAGTTCCTTTCTTATAGAGCCCTTTCTTTGATTCCTACTGGGCCATCATGAGCCTGGGCTCATATTACTAGTGGCTACTTCAGAGTCCAAGTCAGGGCGTTTTAGGGAGAGAAACATATATTTCTCTGCATGCTCCTTAATACTGATGCATTTTGCAATGAGAGAAGTCTCCCAAACTCCTCAGGACAAAGCGAGGTCTCCTCAAATGCTTGACAGGCTGGCAGCCTGCTGGAGGCCTTCGGAAAGGTACTGGCTCTCAGACCCTCCTGTTACGCCACGGGGAGTACACGTGGGAAGCCATGGGTGACCACCCCGTGGGCCAGAGTGCTCACATCTGTGGAAATAGGATTAGGTTTGGGCCACTTTTGGCAATCAGGTAGTCAGCTCAGTAGAGGCAAAACCTACTCTTGTATCATTTTGTAAGATAACTGAGATAGAAAGGCATGGTTTTAAAAGTCTTCAAACATTTTTGCTTTCAAACCTACAAAATAATGTCAAAAAACTATTGCACACTTCTAAGGTGACATCTGCAATTTTTCTAATCACAAGCTTAAATAGTTGTAACAGATGTAATTTCCAGCCCATTTGGGAACTATATCTGCACTTCAAATATACTTTTGGCAAAAACCTTGGAGCTGCAAATCTAGCTGATTTGATTTGTGGAAAACCATCAAATGGATCAGCTCAAACCAATTGATATTTTGATCAGAAAAGGTCCAACCTCATCTTCACTTCAAACACACAGGTTAGTATGCATTCATGACAACGATTATACTCCTGGGTTCTAATTGTAAGATGAATAGATGGATGGGTGGATGGACAGACAGGTAGATAAAGCACCATGCCTTGCCATGAGTGCCTGGCCAGAATAAAGCATGGAACCATCCACTTTGATATTTCTTGGTTTATTCACATGGGACTTTTCCTCAGCATTTATAGTACCCTTTCACCAAAATTGACCTCTTGTTAGCATTTTGCTTCATTTTTTTTCCCTAAACCATTTGAGAATTGGTTGCAAGCATAACAATAAATAGTTCAGCATATACCTTCTAGAAGCAAGGACATTATCTTATATAACTACAAGCCAGTTACCAGTCTCAGGAAATTTAACATTTATGCAATACTGTTATCCAATAGATAGTCCATATTCAAATGTCCCCAGTTGTGGCAATAACACCCTTCGTGGATTTATTTTTTCTTAATCAAGGGTCACAAATTGCATTTGATTGTCATCTCTTTATTCTCCTATAATGTAGAACTAGCTCCCACGCCTTTTTTTCCCCATATTGACATTTTTGGAAAGTCTAGGCTGTCTTGCCTGCTGTTCTGCAGACTGCCCTTCAGTCTGGATTTGTGTGATTGTGTGTGACTAGATTCAGGTACACACCCTTGGAATACTAAGTTCATGATGACTTGTGCTTGCGTCTCGAGCCACTGGTAACAGTTTGTTCCAAGGAGCCATGCATGCCTGAGTTGTCCTTATGTGGCACCTGCAAGTCTCTGTTTCCCAAACAGTGCCTCAGGTAAAATGAGTGAGATGGGCGCGAGGTACGTCTCTCTCGGGAAGGTAGAAGGGTGACTGTGGTAGGAGAACCAGCCGCAGGAGTGTTCGTGGGCAGACCAGTTTCAGGACACAGCACTTGTGGAAGTTGAAGATCTGGACACTGATTCTCTTAAAACTACCCATAGACCCTGCAGAAGGAAACCTGCCACCGTTTGCCACTATGTGCCATAGTGGACACATGATATTGCACGTGGGCTGTGGAATCAGTTCACATTGGTGTGGTTAATTTGGGGGATTTCTAGGAACAGAGATGAGCCAACACAAACTCCCAAGACAGGCCTGCTCCTTCTGCCCACAGGCAGGGGCCTTCAGGGCCTTCTCCTCTGTGGAACATTCTGGACTAGCATGGAGCCAGTGTCTGCATCACCTATAGGGTAATCGTGCTGTGTCCAGAGCCAGCAGAGTTGATCTTCATGCCGCTGCCGGCAATGTCATGTCAGTGAAGAACGATCACCGACAGGAAAACCGTGCGGACTTACTTTGGGTACCACTTGTTCAATACTTTCAGGCACTGAGCTGAAAACTTCTCTTCTACCGGTGTGAAGGTGTAACTAGCCCCATTTTGAGGGGAGCCTGGGGTGGCCCAGGGTTAAGCAACTTGGCCAGACCCTGGACCCAGGAAAATCTGAGCCCAACACTCATCCTCGTGATCACAACCACTCCCTGCCAGCCTACGACACCCCTGCGGGACTCTTCTGGCTACGTCAGAAAGTCAGCGAGGAGAAAAGTCAGGTGTATGCAGCTGTTTTTGAGTGATACAGCTGATTACCTGAAGAGTCTCTGAGGTTCCAGTAAATTCATTCACTGAGGGCTAGAAAGCCCCTCCTCACATCTGACCAGAGGAATCCATCAAACAGGCTCAAATGATACAGAGCACTTTTCTTTCACCCCTTTTGCTCTCTTTTCATCTTCTTAGTCCCTCTTCTTCTTGCCTAAGTCTCTCAGGCCCTTCGAGTTCCTTCTACCTACTGCTCAGTTGGCCGCACCCTGGGAAGGGCCAGGGGAAGTTGAATGCAGAACCTGGGGGAGTTCTGGGCCCTCTCAGGCTGCAGGGGGGGCCTTGTGGGAAGGAAGAAGCTCCTTTGCTTTCCAGGTAACTTTAGGGTTTCCCCTCAGAAACTACCTGCCTCTGACAAGGGATTATTTTCCCAAGTGGCTTTTTGTGGGCTTAATTTTACTGGGTAACCTTCTCGCCCTTCCCTGTTAAGTGTTTATAAGGGCAGTGGCAGGGCTCCTGGGGTGCACTCTTTGGTGTGAGGTGTTTACAGCTGGCTGTGCAGAGCTTTTAGCTCACACCAGGTGTTCATGGATTAGCTAATAAATGGACACCCTATTGGGTGTTTTCCTGACTTAAAAGCAGAAGAACGGACATCTTCCCCTCAGGGGAGCCATTCTGTATTACTGTAAAATTATTAGTCTAACTATAATCAAAGTATGGACCACGTAGGTGGAAATCAGAGCAGGGCAATTAGAATCTGAGTAAATGGCTATAGCCTGTCTTTCCTGGGTGAGGGTTTTTGGCTATTTCTATTCATGGAGTAATTTCCATTACAGTGGTGACAAGTTCTCTGAGTTAAATTGTAGGATAAATATCCAAGATAATGGTATAGCTGAGTGTGTGCAATGTTGGTCAAAGTGGATGCAGATGGTATATAAAATGGCATTTTGTGGGCCAAGTGGCCCATAAAAATATACCCAAGGCTCCTTTCTTCTGTACTGTGAACTGGTTTGTCTTTTCTTCCACCTTGAGAGGATCCAGAAATGCTTTTTTAAAACAACAAAACACTGGTGTTTTTATAGCACAAATACTTTTCAAATAAACCCGTGTCATGTTTTATTGCCAGCAAACCGCTGGTCATGGAGAATGCTCTGGTAGCTCTGGCAGTGGTCACAGTGACTTAGTAAATTGCCTCAGGTGGTGACTATTCACGGGAGATTGGATGCTGTGGACCCTTCTTGAATTTAACCCAAGAGCCACGTCTGACCTGGGTGGTCTATCTAATGCTAGATGAATAGTGGGTCCAAAATAGGAAAGCAGGGGAGCTCATTACCTAATGTGAGATGCAGCAGCATTCCAGTGGTTAGGGGCCCATGGGCCTTTTTTTATGTATAATTAGTTGAAATAAATGGCAAAATCAACACTTTTAAATAGTAGCAGATGACAGAACTTTGACTTTTTCAGGGAACTGAAACATTCTCCTGGACTAACACAGCACATTTCAGAGGTCAATGAAGGTCAAATGAAAACAAGGGTCGACAGCTTCCAAGACCAGCCTTGGGGTCCTCTCTGTCCATTTGGTAGCAGTTGCCGTGGGTGATTCTAGCCTTGGAGTCCTAAGCTGGGTGTGGCTTAAACCTGCTCAAAGCAGCAAAACCAGAAATGAATACAATAGAGATTTTGAGAAAATGGTAGGTTTGGTGTTTGACCTTTCGGTGATGGGGACTGAAGGGACTGGTATCGTAGGTCCTCTCTGAGGTCATTGGCTCCATCTCTGCCTTTACAGGAGGAGACTGGGGTGTAAGGATGCCTCCCACTAGTACCTGGGTGTTCTGAGACTCATAATACAGGGTGCTTTCTACATGTCTTCTCACCTCTCCTAAACAGGACATTGGAAGATGATGAGTTGAGGGACACTTGGTTATTTCAGTCGTAACCAAGATGTTGAGCCAAAGGGCAAACTGAAAACATTGAGAACTGCTTGAACCTAGAAGACCTCTTGCAGGGGTCTCCTGGGGCCCCGATGGTGGTGGCTGAGCAGAGCACTGCTGGGGCATCAGCAGGAGGCAGTCCCCTCCCTGACGGGGGTGACTGGAAACTAACATCCAGCAGCCCCTTCCCATCTTAGGGTCTTAGCACTGGGGAGGGCACCAGAGAGGGGCTTGCTGACCTCAGAAGGGTTAAGTGACTAGTCCAAGGTCACGAGGCTGGGCAGGGGCTGACCCTGGACTGGAATCCCAGGCTCTGTCCTCTCCAGCTCTGCAGTGAGATTTTGTCACTTGGTGCCAGCGTGAGTTTGAGGAGCTTCCGGAAACGGGGCCTGTGTGTCTGAATCTGCCACCGCCCTTGGCTGCCAGCTTTCCGGTTTTAGTTGGGAAATTGCCAGGTCTGCCTTAGAGTGACATGCAAGACCCAGGACGTGGGAGAGATGCCCCTGAACGGCATGCTTTTCCCTTTTGGGACAATTTATTGTACTCTGAGGCCTGTCGCAGCCTGACTTCAGAACCTACTTAGAGCACCTCCATTCATGCTGAACTTCCCAACATAAAGTGTGTTTCTTCCTGTTGTCAGCGTGGTAAATGTGTGCAGGTGAAATCAGCACCTCTTGCACTGGTTCCAGGGTGAGTTACCACACGCCCGAGACTTAAACTGCTCGATAGTAGAATTTTTACTTTAAAACAGACAGGCAGCTTGGAACAGTACAATGAGTTAGAGCTTTGAGACCAAGCCAACTAAGTCCACAGTTACAAGCCACGTGGCCCTGGGCAGAAATTTGTCTTCTCTGAGCCTCAGTTTCCCAATATATAGAGATAATATGCGATCCCAACTCCAACCTTGCAGGGATGTTGTTGGGTTTAAAGTTAATGTGGGAGAGTCAGCACCCATCCCACCTTTGTATTTGTTGGTAATGCTGTCAAGTGCATCAAGGAAGCTGTCATTTAAAATAGAGGGTGATGAAATTTTGTAATGTGAGGAATTTTAAAGGTAAGACTCCATTATGTAGTTCTTATACTATTTCAATTTTATTGAAAGAAAATCATATTTGTACCTTGTTGAAAAGTAGAAATAACTTATAAAAAATGACATTAGCTGGGAGTTTTCTTAAGAGGTTATATAAATCTTAGACTGATTTTTTCATATAAATATGCATGCACATGTTTGTATATATGTGTATATGTATGTATGTGCATGTGTGTATACACACACACACACAGAGAACTTCTATTTTTCATGTACTTGGTCTGCAGAACAGTTGGTCCTTTACCTGGGGTAAGAGTAGCAAAGAATATCAGGTTAAATGGCCCCACCCCCAGGGGTTTCCACTGCCTCTTTGCAGACAACCTTTCAGGAGATGCTCCCCCTGTGAGGCAGGGCTGCCCAGCCCCACAGCGGCCCCAGGTACAGCATCCCCTGGCTTCACACCCAGGGTCTAGCCCACCCCAGAACTAGGCACTACCTGCAGTGAGGGCATCCTGGCTGCTGGTTCTCCATGCTGCTCACCTGTGTGGCCTTGGCTGAGGCTGTAGTTCACCCCTGTAGACCCCAGCGTATTAACCCTTGCCCTTCCAGTGCACAGAAGCTGGACACTGTGCACTGAAGGACAGAGACTGGTCCTCCCCAGAGCAAGAAACACCTGGGCCTTCTCTCCAAGGCTCCTGCATCCTTGAGGCTGGGAGACAGCTCCTGTAGGAGAGGGCCACTGTGGGTCCGAGGGTCCAGCTCCTTCTCTCCTGGGCCTCTCAGAGCCCACTCCCACTCTGGGAAAGGGGTCACCCCCTCACTGCTTTGCACACAACCTTGTGCTGCCCCCATCTTGGGCCCACAGCTTGAAGGCAGGCTGAAAACCAGCTTAGACCACCAGCTAGGCCGGGGTGAGGAGGGGACAACCCAATACGAGTATAAAATGACCCCTTTGATTAAAATATAATTAACCTGTACTGTTTTTAAGAGAAATCTAACATTTAGGAGAATACTTTGTCTACTACATGCCAGCTTAGCCAAGATAACGTTTTGCATTATGTGCCTTTTGATTCGGCTGTTACAGGGTACAGGAGGACTCCGAGTTCTCACCATAGTTCCTGTAAAAACTCAGTTACCTTTACAAGATAGTCAATATCCCAGGTCTTTGTTCCTGAGGTAATGTTACTATTTTTTGCCCATAATCGAGGGAGGCGAAGTCTCTGCAGTGAACAGTTTGGTTTGTTCCCAGAGTCTGGCCCAGCACAAGGTTTCGTTTGTTTAAATAACACTGTTTATACAAAGGACACATCAAAGTTAAAATATTTTACATAGGATAATGCCAAAATATTTGGTTGGACCCGGTAGGATGACTTAAATGCATTTGAGCATTTTGACTTTTCAAAACCTTTAGCTTTGAGATGTCCATGTTTTCCCAGATATATCCTCCAAGTGGGTCTGGGAAATGAGCACATGTTTGACTTTTTTCTTTTTTTTTTAATATGACGCTCCTCTTTTGTGGTTTGCAAGTATTTTACTATCAAAGTTAATGCTAATGAGGGCCATTTGTGTAGCTGACATTCTGCCAAGCCCTTTATAGGATGAAGAAGAAAGTGATAGGCCATTAAGTCTTAATTTGGGGAACTAATCCAAACCCAGACTCAAACCCCCTTCTTTCCCCTCACTCAGTGAACTCCAGGAAGACAGAGGCAGCTGTGGGCTCCTTGTTTCCTCTCGGGGAGTTTACTTGCCTGGGCAGGATTCAAGGCCTCTACAGAAATGTTAAGGATGGGCTCAGTGAGGTGTGTGGCACTCACTGCCCCCCGATGCCTAGTTTTGACAAATTGAGGTCTCTCTATGAATGAATGAACTCAGTCAGCAGCAAAAAGCCTGGAACTAGGAATTTAGTTGGAAGAGACAGGTCTATTTGCTCTGTGGTTTGGAAAATATAGTGTTGCCCTTTTCTGGTTTCCAAGATTTATATCCATGTAAAAATTTTAGCATAAATATTTATTTTTTACTCTATTTTTCAAGAAGAGGAAGGTGGGGGGGCAACCTTCAGTTCAATAAGAATCATCTATGTCCTGAACTTGAAGCTTAAGTATTCCCACCGTAACATCAAGGTACGAGGGAGATTTCCCATCCAAAGGAGAAGTTCTCATTAGCTACACTCTTTAGTTGAACACAGCGAACATGGATTGACTGCTTCCCTGGGTGCCAGGAAGCCTTTTAATTCAGGCTGATGATCCGTTCACCACCGCACCCAAAAGCATAAGTGGTTGGTGCATTCACACTGCTACACTCATCAGCCTGAAAAGGCCAAGTGGAGTTTAAAATAAAGGAGAAAAGGTTCTCATAACAAAGTACAAATATGTCCCCAAGCATTATTAGAGACTGCTTATAAAAATTCATTCGCTAGTTATCTGGAATTCAAATTTAACTAGGTATTCTGTATTTTATCTGGCAAGCAAAGTCAGTGGACAGAGCCATGAGGTCAAAATGTCTTTTAAAAAAAAGGGAGGGATAGTGTTTTTCTGGAACTTTGAAAGTGTCAGGCAATAAGTAAGAACATTATAAATGCTGATTCAAATCATTATAATTCTAGTAATATAAATTTGTGTAATTTATCATGTTCTATAATGAGTCTCTAAACCAGTGTTAAGTGGAACTTTTATAACTCGAATGTTTTCCCATTCATTTATGTTAAAATTTTAGTAATATTTCATCATTTTATTTAATTAATCTGCAGTTGATTCATAATCAATTTTAACTTTCTGATTAATCTGCAGTTGATTCATAATCAATTTTAACTTTCCATGTTCCCAGGTTCTTAAGTTAATGATCTATTCAGGAGTTCTTGACTAGAGCCCAGGATCCCATCATGTGAATCCTTTTGTAGAACAAAGAGTCTTTTTTGAAATCTGAAGACTTTTTTTGTATTCTGATTAATCACCACTGCCAAGCAGTTTTAGGAGTCAGATTTTTGTGCAAACATGGTTTTTTAAAAACTGAGCACACCTGATTTCCTCTTTTATAGCTTATTATTGGGGAAAAAAGTCACAAATAGTATAAGCAGCTCATTTTTCAAAATAAGTAGTTCATTTCTTTAACTCAGAGTGATACAAAGGTTTTTGTTTGTTTTGTTTTAAAGAAAGAAAGGAGGGAGGGAGGGAGGGTGGGAGCTTCCTAAGGAAGTCCAATTAGAAAGTGGTTTGGAGAAGATGACAAATTCGGAGTACGTGCCCTCTCCTCCGGTCCTCCTTGAGAAAACCTTACTCCCAGGGAGCCAGAGCCCCTCCGACGACTTGGGAGGAGGTGGGCTTTGAGAGCTGACACTTCAAAGCTGCAGGAAGCCGGCACAGGAGGCAGTAGGAGACAGTCACTCAGCTCGCAGGTGGACGGTGACTGTACCACTCTGGCACTGCGGCTTCTCGTGCGATGCAGGCTGTTTATTTTGTGTGTTTTATCTCATCACAGTGCGGCTCTCAGCTGGAGAGCAAGTGTCCCCTTGAAAACTCAAGGACTCTTTCTCTCTCCCCTCTTAAAGTGACCTAATTCGTTCAAAAACCATTGAGGGCCTCCAGGGACCAGATCCTCCTGTAAGCACTTGGGATCCACTGCGGGCAAACCAAGGAAAGGTCATGGCCTCCCGGAGGCAGCATTTGCTCAGACAGAAGACAAATAACTAACGTGAGAAATAAGTTATGCGGTGTGTTGGAAGGTAGCAAGTATTATGCTGGGGAGGGAAAAGCAGGGAAGGAGGGTCTGGATTGGGGCTCAGGGAGGGACTGCGCTTTAGACAGGGAGGTCAAGGTAGGACTTGGAGGTGGTGACATTTGAGAAAAGACTGGAAGGGGATGTGGGAGTGAGCCACTGGGTGCCCTGCAGGAACAGTGTTCCAGACAGAGAGGGAATAGCCAGCACAAAGGCCCCGAGTCCCCACTTGTGTCTGACCCATGCAATTCTACACCGATGACAATTTTGCCCCCAGGGGACATTTGGCAATGTCTGGAGACACTGTAGTTTGTCACTACTGGGACGAGAGGTAGGGAAATATTACTGGCATCTCCTGGGTAGAGGCCAGGGGTGCAATGAAACATCCTAGAATGCTTCCACGACCAACAATGTTCCCACCCAAAATATTAGTAGTGCTGAGTCTGAGAAATTCTGTGTCTGAGGAACAGTAAGGAGACCAGGGAAGCTGGAGGGGAGGCCGTGAGGAGGAGAGAAGTCGAATATGAGGTCAGTAGTAACAAAGGCTGAGACAGAGGCAGAGGCCAGCTCCGGGGGTCCTTAGGCCAGTGTGGACTTTGGCTTTTACTCCAAGATAAATGGGGCACACCATTGGAGGGTTTGGAGCAGAGGATGGACATAAGCTGCATTAACAGTTTCAGGAGTGTCGCTCTGGCTGCCCGCTGGAAAACAGACCAAGAGAGGGCAAGGCTGGAATGTGGAGGGCTCAGGCTGTTGTGGTTACCCAGGCAGGAGGTGCGGGGCTCAGACCAGGCAGACGCAGCTTGGAGACTCTGTGCAGCAGAGCCACGCAATGTCAGATTTTAGATTTAGGGCAACAAGGTGATCTGGAAATTCCACACCATCCCCACTCTTTTTACTACTGTATGGCATATATTTTATACGTATTATATATTCTCTAGATAGACAGATATGTATTATATATTATCTACAGATAGATAGGTAATAGATGGATAGATGTGGTTAAGCTGCCTTCGCTGGGTTATGTTTCACACAACAGGACACCTGATACCTGTTTTAACAATCAGTTCATAACAAAACAATTTGATGTGGGTTAGGCACAATGTAATCCTGCTTTAAGATGGTCTTGGCAAAAAAATATTCAGTCTTGCTAACAATTCTTTTGTGGTATATTTTTCTAAGCCACGTATAACCCTAAACATACTAAATTACCTGAAAATGGGATGAGGGGAGCATAAAAGTTCTAGTACCTAATAAACAGGCATTTGAATTGCTTTCCTCTTTTAGAAATGTATTCAGTTGTTCAAATAGGTTCTCTCCTCTTACTTGATCAGCCAACGCAAATGCTTGGAACACAGCAGAAGATGCTGAAAGATCGCTAATCCATGCGTTTGCCCGAAGGTCTCAAATGTCATAGAGGCGGCACCTCAATCGTTCCTCCATGTGAGCTCCCTCAGGTGCACATCTCTTGTCCTTTCTGCAGCCAAAGCCAGTGAGTCATGTGACAGCCTGCAGCAGAGGCTGGACCCCACCCCATCTGACCACAAACAGCATTTTGTTCCATGTATTGCTTTGATACATTTAAATGTCACCTTATGGGAAGACCATATATTTTTTAAGTCATGCATCCAAGAAAGTGGTAAATTAGTAGAAAAAGTAGGCTGCTTTTTCAGTCTCAACTTTTATTTTTTCAGGAAGCTTTAAAATATAGTTGAGTTCAGGAGCTTCTCATGTGATCATGGGTCTCGTCCCACTCAGCTGTGCAGAGGCATTGAGTCGGGGTGGATTTTAGGGCAGAGCGCTCGGTATTCCAGGCGAAGTGGAAATATATTCCAATCCTGATCCAAGATTAGTCCTTTTATCATCCTCTCAGAGAGGGTTTCTCAAAGTGTAGTCCGTGGACTGCCTACCACAGAGTTCCTCCAGAGCTTGTTAACAATGCAGATTTCTTGGTCCTTTCCCATGCCCCCACCAAGGGTAGGGCCAGGACTCTGCATTTCCGTAAGCCTCCCAGCACAGTGTCATCCACGCTCATGGCTGAGAACCATGGCTCTCAGTTATGTTACTAGACAAGAAAAACAACCCTCCATCAGCAACCTCAGTGTAGACTTGTTGAAATTGGCAGATGTTATTCAAATGCAAAATTCACTTCTAAGGATCTGTTTTCTACAAGGAAGTGTGTCACACACACCCACATAATTTCCTCTTTCAACCAAACAATCTTCCTTCCACAGTCTTGGTGGGGGCCTTTTGGTCTGTGATCTTGGGGGCTTACAGTGGTCCCTGAGCTCGGTCCCTGAGCTGGTAGCTTCGCCGTGGGTCCCAGCTTGGCTGCCTCTAGGAGAGACTTTGATCTTGAAGACTCCTTGGAACAGCCCTTGTTGTTGTCTCACATGACCTCTTCTGTTTTCTTGTTGTGCAGCAAATATGCCAGAGGATTATCCCGATCAGTTTGATGATGTCATGGATTTTATTCAAGCCACCATCAGGAGACTGAAAAGGTCACCAGATAAACAAATGGCCGTCCTTCCGCGGAGAGACCGGCACCGGCAGGCCACGGCGGCTGGCCCGGAGACGTCCAGGGGGAAAGCTCGGCGGGGCCAGAGGGGCCGAAATCGGGGGTGTGTCTTGACTGCCGTCCATTTAAATGTCACTGATTTGGGTTTGGGCTATGAAACCAAGGAGGAACTCATTTTCAGGTACTGCAGCGGCTCCTGTGATGCAGCCGAGACAATGTATGACAAAATATTAAAAAACTTATCCAAAAATAGAAGGCTGGTGAGTGACAAAGTCGGGCAGGCGTGTTGCAGACCCATCGCCTTTGATGACGACCTGTCCTTTTTAGATGATAACCTGGTTTACCATATTCTAAGAAAGCATTCCGCTAAAAGGTGTGGATGTATCTGACTCTGGCTCCAGAGACCGCTGTGTATTGCATTCCTGCTACAGTGCAAAGAAAGGGACCAAGGTTCCCAGAAAATGTTTGCCCAGAAGGGAAGATGAGGACCAAGGAGGTGGAGGAGGAGGAGGAAGGCAGCCGTTGTGGGAGCCTGGTAGAGAGAGATCCAGCTACAGAAAACCGGACGGGAGAGAGGAAACAGCCGTCCACCTTCTCCCGGACAGCAGCCAACGGCGGCAGCAGCTCAGGGCTGGTGTCCCTGGTTGGGTGTTGCCATCTTTTCATCTGATACAGTCCACCGGCACCGGTCACAGGCGCAGTTGCGGATGCACATGAAACCAAACCAGTGTGTCTCCTGTGGTTTGTTTTCACATGTCAGGAGTCACCAGGGAAACAGTCCTCCTGGTGTCATTCCTTGTCGTTACGTTTTACTGCTGAAAGCAAGAAAGGTTTATTTTTCTGTCACTCAATGGAGACATACCCCAGAAGGAGGGAAAAGAAGAAGAAAACAAACAAACAAAAAAAACAAAGACACAAGAGATAAAGTAACCTTTGATTTTGAAGATTCAGGCCTGAGGTTTACTACAACCAGCGATTTGGGGAACGGTGGGTGATTGATCTTGAACATGATGTGTGGGGTGGGAAGAAGTTGGCTAGGAACCAAAAAGGCTGTCCTCATGACTAAAACCAAACCTGAAGGTATTTCCTTTCTGTCCTTGGAAACAGGAAACCAGTTGTGGTTTTCGGCAGCATTCTTGCAGGAGAGCGTGCAGGGAAGGCCCCCAGCTGCACCGAGGCGGGGAGGCCCGCCGGGTCTGTTGGTTTACAGAGAGACAGATGTTACATACACCCCAGCTCCGTTATGCGTGGTCACCAGTGACCAGAGAAGCTACTCGATGCAATGCATCTGTTTCAGATACAGAAATATAGAGAAGATATTTATTGAGATTTAAGTTATTGTTATTTATTACCATTCACTAATGCATTTCTCTTTCTTCCCTTATTTATTAAAGTTTCTTTTCAAAGGTGCCAAAGTATATGTGCTCGCAAAATGCAAAGAAAGGTGACAAAGGAAATTTTAATTGGGAACAAGGGTCCATGCTTTTCAAAGTATTAAAAAGTTTTGCGCTAGGCAAAAATCACTGACTTTACCTTTTTAAGAGAAGCCCTCCTGTGATTTCCCCAGATTTCAGCATCTTACCTGTTTTTCTATTGTAGAAAAGAAACACATCAGAAGGGGCGTTTCTGGCAGGCCCCCTTTGCGGGAGCCGTGCGCAGAGACAACGGCACTCGGCTCTGTTTCTTCACGGCTCCATCTCTGAACAGATCTGCCGTGTGCTTCACTCCCGGTTGTGTTTGAGCGCTCCCTCCCTCCTCATGTGTCTGTCTGCGATATGCATAACCATATGTAGCAAAGGTTAAAGTCCCTTCAGTAGGTAGTCCTGGGTCCGTGTTGACCTCAAGGTAATGATCCTGCCAGGTAGCCGGGGTGCTGCCCTGATGGTGGAGACTCTTCCTCCATCCTTCTATCCGCCATCTTCCTGAGAAACGCGCTCAGGGCTCAGTGCAGCCAAGGAGCGCGGCGGGCCTTACAGAAGTGGGGTTGGCCGGGTTGCTAGAAAAGCCACCAGTTGCTGGCCCCGTACACCTGACCCCTCTCTCAGAGGAAGGTGGCCCAGAAGGGTGGACAAGGAAGACGGGCCTGCCCAGCCTCGGCAAACACACCCCTCAGAGTGCGCCCCCTGGATGCTAAAAGCCTTCCACGGGGTAGGAGCGTAGGGTGAGAACAACCATCCCAGCGCCCCAGGTCAGGGATGTGTCCTGCAGCTGACCCATGCGCAGGGCCCTGGGCCCTGCTGTAGAGCTTGTCACACATCCCATAAAAGGGATTTTTATCAACGAGATCATCTATCACTACCTTAGTGGCTATTAGCCCCAAAGTATGACCGATTTAGTGATTTAAAGTCTACTGGCCTCTCTCAAATAATCATGTTAGTTTTACAAAGTAACCAAGCAGCAGCAGTTACCAGACATCCCTCCCCCTGCCACCCAAAGGACCCAAGTTGTCCATCATTCTGCCCCCTCTGCCCTTTCTGCTCCCCTCACATAACTCAAAAATGGAGGAAAAGGGCCTCCCTCCTGCCCCATCTTGGGGCCCAAGTAGGGACCTTGCTGAGGAGCAGCCTGCTCAAAGTAGGGACAGACCCCACTCACAAGTCACTCATGAAGCACAGTCTGATGCAGCCCCAGGGTCCCCTGTCCAAACCAGAGTGTCCTGGCCGATTTGGTATCTGGTGTCCCCAGGGGTCAGCCTCAGCCCCAGCTCCGCGTGGACAGTCTCCTCCCACAGGGGCGGTAGGAGTCAACGGGTGCTGACAGCTTGTTCCCAGCATCACCTACACACCGTAAGCAGGTTTTAACAGAAGCCAATTGCTCCACCAAATCCATAAAAGGGTAAAGTTTGTGATTTTTCTTTATCATTGCGATTATCATCTGATCCAGGAAGGAGTGCACTTCTTAAGAAGTTCTGACTTCTCTGATCTGTCTCGGTCGTTTGTGTTATACAACCAAAGTTCTCTACAGACTTTATTTTTGTACAATATTATTTTGTAACTTTTTACAAATAAAAACTCATTTCTATCGCCCTCTGTACTTCTGTGCTTCCTCACGGGCCGGTGGACCACGACTGGCGCAGGCTGCAAGGCCGTCCCCTTTGCCACCGCTCAACCCGCTGGTTGGTCAATGGTCTTGTCCATCAACTCTCCACAACCAATCACCACCCAAGTGGGGGAAAACGTGCAAAGTTGTTCTTCATTTATTAATTTAACAAATATTTAGGGCGTGCAACACTGTGCCAGGCACTGTCCAAGGCACTGGGGATCCAACAGTGGCCAAAAAAAACAAACAAAAAACAAAACAAAAAAACTCTGCTCAATGTTGTGAAGTTGATATTTTATTTGAGGGGAACAGACATATTCAAAAAGGTAAAAATATATAGGGATCCAGGTGTTGACAAATGAGTCACCATTTATAAAGAATATGAATAGGATATCATAATAGAAACTAACAGGGGCCTACTTTAACTAGAGGTGACATTGAGGCAGGACTTAAGAGTTAGGAGTGTCCTGGCAAAACCCCGAGGCAGGCAAGTGCTTGGACCAGGCCACCGCTTTGCACAACCCTGGGTGACGCTGTTCACGTGGGCTCTCCGTGGCAATGTAGCAGAATCCCTGGAATTGTGCAAATGGTGGCCTTGAGCTTAGTTGTTCTGGTGGTAAGAAAAACACTGAGGAGAGGAAATGCCACGGCCCTGGGCCGGGGTGAGGAGGGCGTGCTTCCTCCTCAAATGACACACACCCGTGCTTTGTCACTGGCGGCCTTGTGACTATTAAAAGGTGGCCTTGTGAAGCATTTCAAACCCAAAACAAAACTCTGACTCTCCTAAGACTCTCCTGAGTGGCCACCCGCCTAGGCTTTCCAGCCAACCTCAGTCAGTGCAGGGCCTAAAATGCCCTCCCCTTCCCAACGCTCACATCCCCCAGGGAGAGTCACTGGTACCCACTCTGGGCATTTGGAGTCCTTCTGCCTGAGCAGTGCTGAGGCCAGCATGCTTTCTCTAAGCCAGATTCTGGTTCAAAGCTGATGATTCGGAAAGGAATGCAAACTCTTACTCACCTCCACTCCCTTTACAGAGCCATTTCCCCAACGTGTGTTCCCAGGGTGACAAACCAGGTGAGATACTCCTAAAAAAAAAGAATGAGATGGCTCTCTGATTAAATAAGTTTGGAAAACACTGAGTTAAATAACATTGAAGTTATTGAAGTTAAATTAAACAGAGAAGTGTAGAACTTATCGGAACCTTTATCAGACTAGCGAACATTGTGACCGTCCAGGAGGAGCAGAGCATGGAGCATTCCCCAGATAGATGGGCCATGAAACAGCCCGTGATTTTGTTTTCTTTCATAACACCTTGACCGTCCCTTGAAACTACCTTGGGCCATGTTGTCTGCTCCTGTGAGCATCAGGTGAGCAGAGAGGGGGACTAGAGACTAGTGAAGAGACAGAATCCCCAGACACACACACACACACACACACACACACACACAGTCTGGACATTTGGGCATTGTGGCTTCTTGTTCGGCGTGATTAACCAGTGGTCAACTTTGGAAATTTCATTCAACCGAGAAAGGGAAAGTGTGTTGAAAGCTGGGAAATTCTTAGCAGCAGTAAGACAAGGAACTTTCACCATGCTCACTGCAAAGCCTCACCCAGCTCAAGCTGTTTAGAACCACCAGTGCTCTGGCTGGCCTATAGTCTTGAGGGGCTGACCCCCTCATGGTTTTCCTCAGAGGAATGCTGCATTCACAGAATCCTTGCTGCTCATGAGAGTGGTGTGAGGGCCCAGAGTCAGGAGCCCGGACACCAGGCTCTGATGGTCTCAGGGAGCTTGTGCCCACCATCACCTCGGGCCAGTTTTCTTCTGTGTGTCAGACGCCGAAGTGACAGTTTAAAAGAACTTTTACAAGAATCAATCCACTTCCAAGTAAATGTGGAAAATCGGCCTCAAAATCAGAAAGTCCCTTCCCCTTCACACACAGGGACCCTCTTGGGCCACAGCTGATTTGCTGTCTGACCCCAGAATCACGGGGAGGAGGGAGCCTGAGACTTCACACCGTCCACCTTTGCTTCTCGGTTCACAGTGGCAGGGAGGGGACATAAGCGTCAGCCACGGGCCTCGGGCTTTCTTCCATCGGGTAATGAAATGTCTGAGCCCAAAGTGTATTGTTGGGACACATCTCTGTTAAGAAAAGTGTTACTGTAATCCCAGGGAACAGTTAACTTGACTCCTGTCTCCTCGCACAACATCCTGAATGAAATCAAAACCAGATGCTGCCAAGTCATCCCTGAAAATAAATAGAGAGCTCGGGAAATAAGAAGAAAGCACCCACTTACTCATACGTGACAACTAATACGCTGCCACGTCCCGGGCCCGTGGCAGGTGAGGATAATGATGTCAGAGTGCAGACGGGCGGGAGGGTGTGCAGTGACAGGTGCGTAGAGAGTGCTAGAACGCCTCCGCGAGCAGCAGGTGGGAAGGGAACCTGAAAAAAAATGAGTCAGGGCCAACCACAGAGTAGGGTTCCCAGGTCATTTGAATTTCAGCTAAACAAGCATCATTTCTTAGTATAACTATGTCCAGGGCAACGTTTGGGACATGCTCTATTTGGGATATATGTCTACTAGAATGATTACTTGTTGTTTACCTGAAGTTCAGCTGAGCATCCTGTATTTTAATTTGCTAAATCTGGCAAGAGAAAATGACATGCAAGCTGGGCCTTGAGTATCTGTCAGGTAGATGAGAGTACACGTTACATATCAAACAAGGCCCTGAGAAGGCCTGCAGAGGAAAAACCTGCTTAATTTTGTTTAACCCAGCATTTCACATCTTATTTGAACAAGGAGCATCTGCTGACATCTCATACAAGTGTATGGCTGGACACAACTTGGG